GTGATGCGCGAATGTGTACCCTTCCGTGCCGTTTCTGTTCGCTGTTCTTGTTTATTTTTGTTTGTCACCCCTTTCTCCTCTGTATGTGTGGCCGAGACGTACGAATAATAATAATAATCTTCAACCCCTTCCAGCGACAAATTTCGAATGTCTTGGAGTCCTCTCTAAGAGCATTAATTGCAACGAAATTTGGCATACACATTCCTCTCTCAACACAGAAACGCTCCAGCAAATCTTGAAATTGAATTGAATTTGCGTTGAATCTCCATCTCCCCGAGACAGTGGAGAACGTTGAATATCGCCTTTGGAAAATGTGAATTTCGTTACGGTTTTTTTTTTCTCCCGCCTTGGTAGCTGCTCCTGGGAAGTGTTTGGAGGGAAGAAACCAACCAAACGAATGATACTGACCTGGAGGGAACAAAAAGTTTTTTTTTGTTGCTTCCAGTACATCATTTTGCCATGAAAAATGAAATTAGATGCCATTCATTTACACTTAGCGCAATGACTCCTGTCCCGTTATCCAGTGTTGCCGGATATCGTGCGTTAGTTATTCCTTATTGATGACATCTTCGGGCTTTGCTGTGTGGATCTTTTTTTTTAACTTAGGAAACATTATTTTGTTGAGTTCATTGGATGAGATGAGATTGAAGCGGTGGTTTCCATTTAGGCCCTTTAAGCCATATCCTTTCCACTTCTTCTGAGTAACCTTCGGAACTTCGAAAAAGAGGTTTCAGCGCTGAAAGTCTTAGCAGGACTGTGTTCCTGATGCGTATCCTGCAGAACATTCAGAGAATAATGAGCTCACATTGCATTCACTTCCTTGCAAGTGTTGTAGAGTTTGCACTGAATCCATCAACCTTAACTGTGTTACCGCGCTGGAGAAACTCCACCGACAAATTAATTTCGCTACCTCGGAACACAGAGTACAATACCTTTTCAGGTCGATGTGGCTATGTTGAACTTTCTGCGTACTGTGTATGAGGGATATTTTGAAGTCACGGATGGCTCTTTGGTTTCTGGGGTATGATGAAGGACCTGATGTCGTCTCCTGTCACAATGTGGTTCAGGAACGACTTGCCTTCCTGCTTATTGCGTTGCAGATGCGTGAGGCTGCACTCCACCCTTCGAGATTCATGGTCTACTGCTAGTGGTCGAGGAATCATCGGGAACACGTTACGATACTTGGGTACTTTTTGCTTGATGTGCTGGGTAACCCCATATGACAGGTCCAGTTATGAATGAATAATTCACATTGTAATGAGTTTTTATTCCTGGCGTAGTCCTCCAGCACGAATGGCGTTGTCTTCGGTAGAGGAAGTTTGAGTCATGCCACTGCCCTGCTTGTTTTTGTTCTCAACACTCGTTCGCCCACCATGAAGTGTCTGCACCATACGGGTACCTGATGTATGGATCCCGTCCCCACCGACCCTTTAGACCCCCAAAAGATGGCGATTAATTCACGCAACGGATAAGTGTTTCATCCACAAAAAAAAGATGGAACCCCGATGAGACTCTGATGAAAGACGTGATGCACTTTCCAATCCCGTCGCCATTTCACGACTGCACTGCTTGCGTGACACAAGCGGTATATGTGCAGTGTTGCCTCATTCAATGTTGCAAAGTGCGACTCCCAAAAATATCCCAAATCTCCCGCCTACGCTACCTACCCCGTGCCTTATCCGCAATAATTTGTAAATAGTTTTTCCGATCAACTCTTGTATCTTTGGAAAACGTATAGTCAAGAGGTGTGTTCTGTGCGATCTGATTCGCAATATCTTCCACCCAGGAAACTATCAAACTTTACAGCACTGCTCTCCGGGTTTCTCCATTATCAGATATAATGGCAATTTCACCCAATAATAATGCGTAACTCCCTGGAATGTCCAGGTTTGATAAACGTGTGCGTGTATGTTTGCGTGTACATATTTATTTATTTGTGGGTCTGATGCCCATCATACTAAATTTGTATTGACCGTTTTAGGATAGTTACCCATGCAGAAAAAAATCCTATATTGTCCTAAAATATTTTTTAAATAAAAATTTTGGATTCCGAATACACTACTATGGTATTCCTTTATAGGACCCTATGGCAATCCTAATATATTTTTCTATGTAAAAAATCACTGAAAATATTACATGATTTTTCTTCGCGAGGGCAGGTCTACGTCTCCTCCAATATACCACTTAATCAACATTGAACCAATGAAAAGAATCGATCGAAGTATGTATTAAAAATAAAATAACTACTTTCAATCTTGAGCTAAAGTTTCCTCGGTTGTTCGAAAGGCAACTTTAAAAGGTTTGGGAAATAATGAATTCGTTAAGGTAATGTAACCATTTATTGACATTCCTGTGAAGCCCAAATGACCCTTCCTTTTTTAAGTTTGTTGCCAGCCGTGCTGAGGTATTTGTCACATTCTGTGACCATTCAATCCACTAACTCATGGATTATGTCCAGGTTCCGAATTTTTCACTACTACTGCTAGGTCGTTTTCACTTATTCGTTCTCATGAAAATGGTATTTCAAGAGCCTGATAGCGCATTTTGAATGAGGAAAGTCAGGAATGCCGGGTGGATGATTGTTATTCTCCCATCCAAAATGCCCTCAGAGCTCCGTTGCCTATTCCACTTCTTAGAATCACTAGAATTCGTCTTGACAGGAATCCTGTACATTTTCTCCAGATGGCTTAGGGGGGCTTAGTCTGCGTTGCACAATAGGCATCGGCATTGAAATCTGAATCATGGTCCAATAAATCACCAATACGTATTCTGCATCTCAGAAAACGCCCTTTAATTCCCCAGCTGCAGTCACATTGAACCTTTTGACCACTAACGACGACACGTGCTTCCATAATGTCGAAACTCCTTTCCTCTTATTGGTGCCTTAGTGGACTTGAGATTTCTTGCATGCGACAATGAGTTAGGGGCATATTTGACCCTCAGTAGCGTAGTATTGCAAGTTGACGAGACAGCATGCCATGTTTTGACTCGAAACTGTGTTTAGATCACCGAGTGGGCTGAGGCCTTTTTGTTACTGACATTTTATTCAGTAACTATGAGCATATCCCGGTGAAATTCTCCTGCCAACAATTTATTTAGCTCCCAAAACGGATTACACTCTGTCTCAGTGCAAGACTCCATTTACAATTGAGTTAGAGTTCAGGGACCTGAACCAAAATAATGAATTGCATACTCGACTCGACCTCTCGATAGCAGTGGCACCTCCAAGCCGTCTGCCCAAACCAAAAGCCCTCACCAATATGCCAATGGTAATATTGATTGTTTCATCCTTGTAAAGCAACTTCTCAAACAATCCTCGTATGGAATTAAACCTTTGCCCAGAATGTAATCGGCACTTAATGAATATATACCGCGTTATCCACAGCAATCCCCCCAATATCATTTACCTCTTTCAACATTGGGTAAATATGAGGCTATATACGTCAAGTTCAATATTTTTCCCAAAGGGGTCCTGAAGACGATCGGAAACTTATCCCAGCTGGAGGTCAATTAGGAAGATATCACCTTATAACTGAAGTATTGGTGCATCTGTTAGGAATGTTACACCACAAAATGGAACTCTGGAGTCAGTAAGTGATTTCATGTGAGCTTAAATAAATCAATGGGTGGCAACGGAAAGAAAGTTAAGAATTGAGGAACTGGCCTCAAATTACTTCATGAAATTATTGAAGAAGGGTCTATTTCGAACATCATTGATTCGAATGTGCTTTAAGTTACTGACATACGTTTTGTAACATACCCATCTAATATTTTAAATACTAAGTTTTGCATGCATCAAATATTAAGTAACTTCCTAAGTGAAGTGATACCAATGACCAAACATTTACTTTGTTGATTATTTTGGACCCTTTAAGAATGGGACAGAATTATGACACAATCATGATTTTCACCTTGCTGAAATGTGTGAACATAATGCAACTCATAAAAAATTTCCTCCTCATCTCACCAGGTGCTCTCCAAGCAGCTTTATTAGTAAAGTTACCATTGGAACATCATTCTTAGCAGCAATATTAGGACAAAATTCATTAGAAACTAGTAATAATGTAAAAATTACAGATGACAGACCCATGCTAACATCCTCCGGGAGACCATCAGATGTGGGGCAAAAAAATGGGACCAAAAGGGCCTTTTCCACGAATCTCTTGACTGCCTCCTTGCTCAGCACATATCCTGCAAGTAATGTAAATGCAACTTAGTTACTGAATGAGTGACTGAATCGGGAAGTCGTCAAACTTCATGAAGTCCTCACCAGCTCCGCCGCTCATCCAACCCTGCTTGACGAGTTTCTTGAATCGACATCCAAAATAAATAGGGTTTTTAGTGTCATGTTGCAGTAGCATGTGGCGCAGATTCTCCATGATAACATAAGTGTCATCATCTGCTTTCAGGAACCAATCTACATCATCCAAGAAATGCTGGTAAACATACATAAATGCTTCTCTTGTCTTTTCCCAGAGATGATTTCGACCTTCTTGTCGAGTCAGTGCCAAAGTAGGTAATGACGAATCTAGAGCGAAAAAAGAAAAAGAGAGTTTGAGAAGACCCACTTTCTTGACGCGCATTTTACTTTCATCATTTTACTTTCATCAACAAAGCCAGAACCCTTTGATTTCCCTGAAAGTTGCAAGGCTGATAAGGGTAATTGAAACACCATTTTACACCTTATTTCAGCTCTACCTCAATAACCTCAAGAGACGTAGCAATTTGAATGCAAACAAAATTGACCGATTTTGGTTCATGGTGTCATCATTTGAGTTATCATAAGTATTGTGTTAATCAGGGTAAAATTTAATATTGGTGTCATTTTCAAGGTCTCTTCGTGCCCATTGAAATTATTTGCAACACAATGGCTTTTAATGAAGAAAAGGTCTCAGGTCAAAATTGCGTGACCTTTATTTCCTGAAGAAAAATTTAATTTCCATTTAAAATTATCGTAACATTGAAATTTTCTTCTGCATTAATACAGAAAACATCACTTTGGGACATCCATAGAATCAGGAGTGACACAATATAGCGTTATAGCGGCCACATGAAAATCCTCTTATGTATAATTACCTAAGAGCAAAATTACCCAATGTTCAATAACAAGAACTATCTTTTTAAAAATAAATTCAAAATGATACTTGACGAATTAGAAGGACACCCCGTTATTCACGAACAAAACCCTCCGGTTGCAAAATCATCTCATAGGACAGGTGCTTTCCTTTTTTTTATACAAATGAGACAGCATGCGCTCTGATAGGAACTTTTTCTTCGTCTATGGGATGGAATAGTGAAGTTTTAGTGCTCCAGAAATCGTGAGTGATTGCGCAATCTTTCTTCTGGGCACTTTGCCTCTCCCCTGTCGTCTTCCAAACTGCAATAATTGAAGAAAGTGACAGCATTTTCTCAGTTCCCAAATCGAACAGCTAGTGAAGCGTCGTTACTTTTGGTTGTACGTTATGGGTGACTGGCTCTTGCAGTCAACCTCTTTGCTGCTCCTCCAACCACATCGCACACTGATTTTATTCGGCAGGTGGCTGAAAGGTGCTACTCAGCTGGAAAGCCAAGGTCTGTTTCATGATGGCACAAGTTGAGGAAATGTATCCGATGTTTGTAGTGCGAAGCAGATCCATGAATGAAGTAGGAGGTTTTTGCCGAAAAGAACCCAATTCAGCCTTCGGGAAGTTGATGAGGTTCCTCTGAAATAGATGGACAGCAACCAGGTCGTGATTCAGACAGTCTGATATGACTCAGCTGACAAGCTTGGATTTCCCGGCGTCTATGTGATATGCCATGATGGTTGCTTGCGAATTGTTCCAATGAAAACCTTGCGCTTCGTCCCGTAGGACGGAATAATAAATCTATGAGAATTTGCATATTACCTAGAATTCACATTCTCGTGAGATCCAGGCCTTACCAATCAGGTTTCTGATAACCATGGCGCTTATACCACACTTTCAAATCAATTTATGCGGAGCAAGACCCCCTTAAGCGAGGCCGTTGACGAACTCCATCGGATAATTATTATGCTCTTTCTTATCCAAAATCACATTGTCCCTCACATAGTAGGTCTTCTCCCACGTTCCAGTTTGCATCTTCATTTGAAGTTGACATTGAGCACTGAATTAATAGTCGCCGAAATATACATGCAAAACACAAATGTGAGCTGCCCACAACGTTAGAACTTTCCACAATTGAGTAAGTAATGCCGCTCTGTAGTCCCGTGATTCATTCCAGAGAGTAAGGAAAGAATTCCATGTTTTGGTGAGTAAAGCATCAGTCATCTTCATCACTGGAGGAACCGGGGGTTAGAGCCCCGCATGGGCTGGGGCCTAACCCGACCCGACGGGCCCTCTAGGGTGATTTTTTTAAAGATCATTCTTACGGAAGGGTCGGGACGAGCAGAATTTTAGCATTTAAATGGTGTCCTTTTGCTCTGAGACCATGGAAATGTCATAACAAATCTTATTCATGCATGCAATCTGAGGTAATGAAATACTAAATTGCGAGACCATGAATGTAAATAAAAGAAGGAATACTCTTGACAGACATGGGTCAGTTAGTGCCACTCGAGACCGAAATTTGAATAGGCTTTTATTTTGTAAGTAGTTTTTTGTTGTCATTCGACTTCCGACGACGTCCTGTTATTTTTTTGCAATGAAACTTGGAATGCTGAGAAGGCACACAGGAAAGCATAGGTAAAACACTTAATTTTTGCTCGGGTAGTTTTGGGCCATGAAATTAGGTGGGAATTCGGGTTTCCCAGGCCCAGACTTGAATTGGGTCCATGTCTTCATGTGCCAGAAAATCGGCTTGTTGCAGGGCTCTACCGGGGGTAGTATAGTGGTGAAAAATGTAATAGATTATGACTCCACCTAGGTTGGTGCTATATCTTATCTGATTATTGCTGCACACTTACTGGCTATAAGCTTTCTAAACGATGCATCCTTAAAGACAGTACGTTTTTTGGCGCACCCTGTATATTGATGCTGGTTGGAAGAAACACCGTTTTTTGTTTTCTAATGCCATTTCTGCGAACAACATTCAGATTACTAGTTTTTTTCAAATAAAAATTAATTCAATTTATTTTTATGACGAACAGCTTCAGCGTCCATTTTATTTGTTTTTTTTTCCAATAATCAACTTCTTTGTTACTTTCACATTGCGTGCTACTTTCGAAAATGTCGTTCATGCCCTGGTTTGATCTGAAGTAATACCTGAGGTCACCAAGGGATCATAATTTAAGCTTTCCCGCTCAAGTGGTCACATTTTCGTGACTTTCGGTCGGTTTCAGTCTCCGATTTGCTCATAAAAAATTGTTACATGTTGGCAATCAAGACTTGTCATAAAAAACATCATTTCCTCTCTGTAGCTCTAACGGTTTTCGATATATGCTCCCCAAACTTAGCTCGCAAGAGGAAAAATGACCTATAGGGTTAGAGTGCTATATTTGGTCCTAGTCGAGATGGAAACGCGTTTTTGGACACTAATTCAAGCAGAGACAATGTACAAGGGCGTTTCAATAAATAATTTGACAGGAGCCCTAGCAAATATACATGAAGGAGTAGGTGGGCTGAGTATGAATATGCTGAACAAGAGGGGAGCATTATCATGTTCATTCAGTTACTGCCAGAGCTTGCCACTTGCCAGTAGTGACATCCTGGAACGGTGTAAAGATGGCCGGCATACTACACACGTTGACATACGTTGAGTTGCGTAGTGTCATTAGATTTATCATTGCAAAAGGCAGAAAAGCACATGAAAACCATCAACAACTCGTGGAAGTGTATGGCCCCGATGACATGTCACGGCAACAAGCGTATGTGTGGTGCAATGCATTCCAAAATGGCCGAACTAATTTTGCAGATTAGTAACGACCTGGGCGACCACGCACCTCATGCACGGATTACAATATTTAGCGCATTGAAGCCATCATCAAAGAAGACCGACGGGTGAAACTCAGTACTGTTTCAAAAGATCTGAGCATCTCCATGGGGACTGTGCATCACATTGTTCATGACCAGTTGGTGTAGCGATAAGTTTGTGCCCGCTGGGTCCCCAAACAGCTCACAGAAGGTCACAAATCCACCCGAATGGGACTCTCACTGTGCCATTTGACTCATTAAAATACAGAATGTGGGCGACTTCTCCAGCGCATTGTGAGGGGAGATGAGACATGGTAGCACCACTACACCTCGGAAACCAAAGCTACATCCATAACGTGGAAACACCCACCATCTCCGACCGGTAAAAGGTTCAAAACGATGGCGTCAGCGAGGAAGGTGCTGCTAACTATTTTTGGGACCATCAGGGTGTTCTGGTGGAGTTCATGTGTCAAGGTCAAACTCTGAATGCGGAACGCTACTGTGAGACGCTGGACAAACTATGGAATGCCAAACCATGCGACCTGGCTTTCTACGTGAGGGAGCCATATCGTTTCATGACAACGCCAGGCCCCACACCGACTTTGCACCCAGCTCGGGACCCTAAAGAAGAGCTTCCCTGGCAGCCGTTTTTCTATAGATGCTGAGGTGCAGCAGGAAGCGACAAAATGACTCCGGAAACTTGACGCGGGTTTCTGGTAGCCAGGAATCGAATCATTGGTAATATGTTTAGATAAATGTCTCAAAAGATATGGTGATTGTATGAAAGTATAGTTTAAAACCTTGCCTAAATTGATGCGCTGGGAAATCCATTGAAATGTCGTATATATATACATTATTGAATATTGGAAGCTCATAGGGCATAGCGATATTTATAAGTCAAAAATGAGATATGCCCAGGTCTGGTCGTTTAACCATGATTCCTATCTCTGTAATTATAGTCATTTGAGAATTTGGGAAATTCCAAAGTTGAAAATAGCACACAGACGCGAAAAGTAAAATTAACAACATGACCCAAGTGTTAATTTTGATCCAAAATAATTCCATTGGACATACCCGCATGGGCACTTAGAAATCCAATATATGTCCCCCTCGGACATTCACTGGATGACGAAAAGTCTACAACAAGGATAATCCTTGGACATTTCCATTGGATGGCCTATCGGGTGTCCGTCTCTTAGGATCCATTGGAGATTCCCTTTAGGAAAGCTTTTGGATGACCTTTGAGGGGTGCAGCGATAGTAACCCCAGGTGTCACTGGAGCTAAATTTGCATTTGGGTCGCTTCACCATGGTTGATGTTTGTTCACGAGGGAAGGGTAAGACGATGGATTGGCTCTTCGTCTCTGGGCCAAATTGATATATATAGGATTCTCCTCCTTTGCTGATATCATAGATGGGTTTTGAAGACCCAGAGTTGAATTTCTGAAGCATGAATTCACAACACCCTGGCCACATTTTGACTTGGGGTGAGATCATGAGGGACCCATTGGCTGCTGACCCTCCTCAGGCCAATATGTCTTTGCAGGAGGTCATTCACCGCTGCAGACCCAATCCCACGTGGTGCCTGAATGTCATATGTAATTCCATTGTCCTCCTAAACCATCTTCCGCACAACTGCTACATTTTCATCTGTCATCGCAGTTGATGGCCGGCCTCAGCGAGTTTATTCTTAAAGGACATCCTTTGTTTCCAAAACTATGCGAACCACTCAAATATCGTACTACGAGATAGTGTTTTCTCTTCAAAGGCCTGTTGCAAGCGTTTCATACTCTTTTTTGGGCCGTCAACATTTTTAAGTCATAGAAAATCATCGCTTGGAAATGCTCATGTGACGATTTCATCTTGAATTTAAAGAATCCCTGCAGACGAGAAGTAAAAAAAACTATAATTTGGCTCGATGCTACGATTAGTTCCGAAAGTTTTTGCATAGGCTTATGATTGTCTTAACTTGGAGGGAAATTATCAGCCTGAAAGAAACCCTGAATGGAAGAAAGAAAACCGCATCCAGAAACTTTCAGAGTGACCCTCCTGATAAGCTTCATCAGGAACCATTTCCTTCGCAATCTGCATTTTCTCTGGGTCATATTGGCATGTATCCTTAAGGATATACGAACTGAAATGACACATGCCGTCGTGTGCAAGAGCAGCACTTTTCTAGCGGTATGTCGCACCTAAATTATAAAGAGCGATCGCGGCCGTCCGTGCTCAAAAGTTAGTAAGAACTCACCACTGTGAACAATCGATTAGCAGGAGTACTCGCTCTTGATCGCATTCATTACAACGATGCTTGCATTATTGAACCGATTGAAATTGAAATATTACGAAATGCCCAGCAGCCTCCTTATGGTTACATTTCAGTTCTTTTTCAGCTATTCCTTTCGAGTTGTTTCTTGTATCTGCTATGAAAAAAATACATAATTATTTCCATACCTTCTTGTGAACTCCCAAAAAGTAGGATGCTGCATCGTTTTCCCCACGTTGCCTTCACATGCTTCGCCTTCTTCTGGTGGTTCTCCGGCTGCGTCATGACTAAACAGAGAACTCGCACCTCCTCCGACATTTTCATGGGAAATCTGTCGTCACCTATTGTCGTGACAGAACCTCGTGAGTAAATATGGAAGAAAAGACAGGGTTTCAAGGAAAATATACCATTAATTGGGGGTTTCTGTTGAGTTCCATTTTCGGAAATACCACTCGTCATAACCCGCCGCGTTAACTCGGCAGTTAGCCCACCAGATCTGGAATGGAATTGTCCAGATTTTTGTTGAAACTTCGATGTTTGGTAATCAGAAGGCATGACCTAATATAGAAGCGGGAAACTAGCTAACATAATTAATTTTGCATACAATTTATTCGCTTTTTGGGTGACCTATTGACAATACCCGTGCATTACGCGGCCTACGATGAGTTAAAAAAAATAATATGGAATATGTAATATTGGCGCTCCCACATATTTACGCGGTAATAATCGATTTAAAATCCATGGTGATCTATAAAGGTGAGCTAAAAATAGTATATTTTAAAAACGTTCACACCTATTTTAGGAACTTCAGACCTGGTACCAGGCTTACAACGCCTTTTTTCGTGAAATGTCACACCTCAACGTCACCACCTACGACACAAGGCTGACACGACGGGATAGTTAAGTGATAGTGTTAGTTAGCGTACCCAGGCACCCGTTGGGGTGATTTTCTCTTTTGAATTGGCAAAATCTGTAGATGAAGAAGCGTATACCCTATCGTTTGCATATCCACTCTGAAAATACTCTGCAGTGTGAGATATTTAGAGTTAGGTGGCCACGGTATTGGTCCTACACAGCTACACCAGTTGCTGCTGAAGGTCTCATCGAGTCGATTATGGACATCAATGGACCAAAGCGGAGGTGCAAAATATTGCTGAAAATGGCGTTATCCATGCCGTCCTCATCAAGCTGCATCATACATGAGCGCATATAAGGAGCCTTTCTTGTTTGTCGAGCAAACGGTTTATGACGCAATGGATATGGACATGCCACAACAGTATCTGCAGGCTCAACTCGATAATGACGGCAAGGATAACTCAAGTTTCAACAGAATGATGCTCGTCCACACTGGTCCATTGATGGCCCTTATTCGATGAGAACTTAAGTTGCAACTGGTGTAGTCGAGTAACATAAACGCCGTGGCCATCCGACTCCCAGGATCTCACAACCAGCATACTATCGCCCGACATGCTGGTTAAAACTTTGTTCAATTTCGCCCATCGTGTTATGTTTTAACGTAAAAGTGTAATTGGTCATGTTGTGGTGTGACGTTCCACACAACCAAAGGACAATGCCGATTTGACTTATATTGAAGAACATTTAACACTGTTATGAATTATAGAAATTGACTTTCAAAGATAAAAAATGTTCAATTGAAATCCTCTCAGAACATGATGATCTTTTTATTTATTTAATCGCTGCCTGCGTATCGGTCTTATCGGGTCCAAACCAGACCCTGTTCATGAATAATGCATGCAGTGGGCGGGGCTCCCCAATGGCGGCACAACGGTTTGTATAAATGGAAACTTCACAGCCATCCTCCCACACTCTGACTCCAACTGCCAAAGAAGGACGTTGGTAGCCTTGTGCTTCCATACCTACAGCGGATTGTTTGCCTGCACCATATGGAAATACTCGATCTTGGATTCTCCTATACTCAGTTTTCTAACACTCTCTTTCTGATATATCAATACTACAACCTTATTGCTTGGTTTCCGCTTAACTTTGAACAGAAGCAGTGGGAAAACGTGCATACCTCCATGTTGTAGACCAATGTATCAGAACAGTAGAGCTGAGAAACGTTCATTTCATGTATTCACCACGGAAGAAGAAGAAAAATCAATATGGCTGAAAGCCTTGGGTTTATCTGCTGCGCCCAAAACAGCATACGTCTGTTCACTTCATGTTGCATGCGATTGCTATCATGAAAGATTTCTGAATCAGTAGTGCAGCAAAATTACGGATACATCTGCTTTGGGGAAAATCTTCATTGAAACCCATGAATACCATCAAGGCTGGGAAATCATACCCTGGAATATGGTCACGTCGTGACTTCACCAGAGCGATCCCTTTGAAATTCATGTCTAGCAAAGGCTATGAATATGCGAGGCAAAATCTTGGGTTACATTTGCACCGTCATCCCGATTGAGGATGCGGCCAAGCAATCTATCGTACGAGCCTGGAATCGTGGTTGATATACCTCGATTAATGCAGTACCACGCTGAAGCCATGCCGAAAAAAATCGCATTTGTTGCTTATCTTATGACGAGATGAAGATTGATTCCCGGATATGCTACAATGCCAAGCCAGACGCAACTATATGTCACTCCGTCTAATCCATTGGGATAGCCCTTCCTGCGATGACGTCACAACGGAGTGATGTCTAACCCTTGCTCCCCTCTTTAATGAGGATATCTGTCGGGCAGGGCCTGGTTCGGACTCAATTTTGTCTTGACGCAAGCCGCCCTTTTGAAAACAAATAATCAATTAATTGGAAATAGGTTCAGGTAGGTAAAATCCAATTCCTTCCTTCGGATGTTTGGCTTTGGAACTCATTAGTTGTCAAAGAAACACATTGTAGAATGTCGCCATTTGATCGCCAGAGGCATCGTTCGGTCTTGCCATCCAGTTTTATGACGGATGACATAGGGATTGAATGGAAAGGATGAATGATGATTTGAGGTAGAAGGCAAGGAAGAGAATGTGACCTGTAAAGATATGGGTTAGGACACTAGGATGTCTGCAATAGGCAGAGGTTATTCAGTATATGCTGAAATTTCTTTCTCCAAAATGGGGCAAAGTATATAAGAATCAGCTATTTCCCCTTTTAGGTCTTTCTAATCTGCATTTTTCTGCGTTTTTGCATATATAGATTTTTCTGACGAATTTCAGCAAAAGTCCATTCAAATTCGGCAGCGGTCAGTCATCGATACGTTCTCTTCTTTCTGAATCTAATCAAGTATGTTAGTGAATGGCAAAACCACGCAAAGCACTTCTATATTATTATATTTGCCCAACTGATGCCTCTCCTATTTGGAGCAGTTTCTTGTCCGACTTTGCTGCAGGTTTTGTTCTTGTCTTCGTCGTCCAAGTTCTACCTGGGTTTCAGAACGGTACACCTCACGTTTGATAGCTGCATTACATGGAGAGTGGGCATGTTCTGTCGGATTCAGGAAAGGAAAATATGTCGGCAGAAACTTCACGTGAACGTTAGGAAAGTCATCTGGGACCGATGCTTTTTATATGGGGTCTCGCACTATCCATGATAACTTAAACTGCTTGATCTAGTGGCGAAATCATGTCTACATATCTCAGGAGCGCCTCAAGGAATTCCGAGAAAATGAACGATGGGACACGTTCCTTTTCTTTCATTGCGAAATAAGGTAATTACAACATATAAACAAAGAAGAACGCAACCAATGCGTTCCAGCTGAAATGGTCACATTTTAGTCACTTTCGTTTGGCATCAGACTCCGATTTGCTTGAAAAAAATGCGTGCATGTAGAAACACAAGACTTTTGACAATATTTGAAATTTTAACTCTCTAACTAACCGTTTTCGAGATATGCAGCCATAAACATAGCCCCCAAGAGGAATAGTGATCTTTGGGGTAAAAGCGCTGTCTTTGGTCCCAGTCGAAATAGAAAAGGGAATTTTGACTCTAATGAAAACTGAGACAATGGATGATCGCATAATCGAATGATGATGGGTGATGGATGACCAGACAAAAGATGATCGCATTTTCAACTAAGTTCATTACCAACTGGGACACACAAACTCCACATTTGTAAATATTACCGAATTTTGCACGCAAATTTTGAGCACTAGCATGCATGGCAACGCAACGAGCTTTTGCAGCACTGTAGAATGAAGCAATGTGAATTTAAGAACTAAATTTCAACTTCTTACGTTGTTTGAAACAACTCACAATTGAAAAGGCCATTTTTGCCTATTTTCACCAAATTTCGCGGTTTGTACATCCTGTTTCAAACGCGATCCAAACTTAAAACTAACGTGTAATGAAAGCTCTCTCTATATTTTCTCCAATGGTGTATTACTGATGCTGTTGAATTTAAAATTCTCGTTTGCGTAATACATTGAACGATTGATAATATCAGATTTTCTCTTGAAATGTTTTACACTAAGTATCAATCATGGGAATCCTGGGGAAACAACCTGGTCAGGGTATATCCCACCATTGACCTATAAATAGCTGTGGTGATACCTGTTTCAAGTTTTAAAATATGATATTTAAAATGTGATGGAGTTGCTGCAACTACAATTGTGCTGAGCTTACTGCTTCCTTTACATTTCAGACTAAGCAGACTTTAGTATGGTATTCTATTCATTCCAATTTTCCGGTGATCGTAACAAAACAGGCTACATATAATCCCTCCAGTGAAAATGAACAGGACAATTTGATTCTTTGGTTTGGAAAAGCCAGAAATGTGTTCCCATTGCATTCATCATGAATACGTTTTGTTAGGGCGATATACTATAACTGTTTTGATACATTCAACAACCACAGGAGGAGGGTGAAAGGAGCTCGAGTTATCTCCTTGAACTTCGCTAAGAAAAATTCATTATCTTGGTCTTCCACGGATTTTAGACAAATATGGTCTTTCATGAAAACTCACAACCTGAAGTCAAGTGGTGTCATGTCCGGCTACCAGGGTGACCACTTCATATGCCCGCGCCGACCTATCCACTTGCCTTCAAAGAAAAGCGGCGATTCACCTCAGAAAGGTTTCCTTTACAGATGAGGAAAAATGAAAGACGGCAACGCACACTTCAAAAGAAAGTTCATTGGAAACTGTTAGACAAGCATTTGGAGTTGCAAAAGTAACAGAAAATGACCGAAAATGAGGGGGCCGTGTTACCAAAAATAATTTTCCCCACAAATTTTTTTTTTGCTGCAAATTTTAACGCAAAATTATTATTATTTGGTCAAATGATGCATACCCTTTCATATCCAACAAACGATGCAAATCCAATCCAATGCAAATAAATGCATTTCCTGCCGAGTAATAGCTGTTCAAAGTCGATCAAAAAATCAGGAAAATTTGGCTGAACAAATTTC